AGCCCCGCGCGCCACTGCCGCGGCCCTCCCGGGCCTGCGCTGTCTGCGGTGCTGCGGGGAACAGCGCCGGGAATTCACGGCAAGGAATTCATGGAATGCTGTGCCAAGAGGCTGGAAACCCAGGACTACGCAAAGGAAATGTATTCCCTGAGCGTTTTACCGTCAGAGGCATCAGAAGTGCAGGCGGCGAGGAGACATTGGCTTCCTCCTGAGGCGACTGCAATGGTGTCAGGAGCGTCCTGGGGCTGCCGAGCGAGCCGGGGCTCCCGCGGGACCCGCCGGGTTTGCAGCCCAAGGGCAGCACGTCCCGCGGCGCTCGAGGCGGTGCCGGGCAGGGCGGCACTGCCCGTCCCGCCGCAGCCGGGAAACCAGGGCCCGCGGCGCGTCGCCTCCTTTCGCACGACCGCCTGGACACGCACGGGCACAACCGGCCCGCTCAGTGCCACCCTCCTGGTATGTCCCACAGGGAGCAAATGAAGGAGTCCTGGAAGGAGCCCGAGTTTTAAGGGCGCTAATGCCAGCATGGAATTACACAAGGTCTGCTAATCTGGCACACATCTAATGTCAGGACCAATGAATGACAGTAGTACTTCCTCGTTTTCTCCATTTTGAAAGATTATTTTGCATGTGCCATTAGCGAGCTTGTGCTTGGTCTATTTAACTGCAATAAAGGAAAACAAAAAATAAATGCAAGAGAGGAAGAAAATCCCCTTGCAAAGATGGCTACATCATACAGTGACTTTATAGGTCCAAAGACAACAATGGGAATTTTAGAAGAAACCCAAAACATTTTTTTTTTTTTTTTGCTTTTGTTTTGCAGACCAAGAGCAAGGCAGATGTGTCTGCCGCGAAAGCCGTAGCTGCACCATTCAGAGATGTCCTTTGAGTGAAGTGTCGAGTCCTACACCTCTGCGTGGCTACAGCTCCCCGAACAATCATAGGTTTCTCACGCAAAGACCTTGCCGAGGCGGACGGAAGGCTCCGGTACCAGAAGCACAGAGCTTTCTGCACTGGCGCCTCGGGAAAGCTTGTGCCAGGAGGAAAACGTCCTCCTCCCATAGCACGTAGTGTCCACGGCCCTGCTTTCCATTGCCAGGCTAGGTTTTCCTAATGGGAAGTGAGAAGTAGCGGGAAGCCGTGAGCTACTACCTTGTGAGTTGAGAGGGTCTGCCCTGGCAGCGAGTGAAAACCCTGCATGCCACAAACCCTCCGGGAAGATGCTCCGCTCGATAGGGAAGCCCATGCCTTGCAGGCGGTGAAGAACACGGCTTTGCCGTTCAGGATGCGAAGTGTAGTGACTTTAAAAATTACCTCATTTATCAAAAAAAAAAAAAAAAAAAAAAAAAAAAGGAAGAAACCCCGAAGCCCCATGTGGTGGTTGGTCATTTAGTTGTCTCCCATCTCTCCATGAAAACAACGTCATCTGTCGCGTGTCCGGGGAACCGTGGTTCCCGCTCAGCATTCGGGATGCCGCCTCTTCCAGCCGCGCTCCATGTGCCGGAGCTCGTGCGGGGCAGCCCCGCTCGCAGCCCCGGCCCACCGCACACCGCCCCGGGCCCCTGCCCACACCGCGTCCCGGCGCGGGCAGCCCCCGAGCCGCGCGCGCCGCTCCC